GGCATTGTGGCAGGCGCCTGTGGTCCCAGCTACTTGGGAGGCTGAGGCAGGAGACTCGCTTGAGCCCAGGAGTTGGAGGTTGCCGTGAGCTGTTGTGCCATGGCACTGTACCCAGGGGGATAGCTTGAGGCTTTGTCTCCAAAAAAAAAAATTATTGGTACTATATGGGTAGCATAACTACTTTTTAAATAATACACAGAAGTATATTTTACATAATACACAGCTATATATACATATCTGAATATATACAGATTGAAAAGTATATGAAAAGATATGTATTAATCATGTAATTGTTTCTTAGTATTTTCTGATTTTTATATAATACACAATGTTTTTATAACTAAAAAACTGCTTCATGTTGAAATCAAAAAGATGCTTGCAATACAAGTTCTCATTTATCAAGCTCTAGAAAACAAAAGGCCCTTTGCAATGTAACTAGATCATAACATTTAATAGTGCTATCAGGTTGCTGAATACCTTTATGTATCAAAAAGTACAATAATTAGAAATAATTTTTTTGAGCTGGGTGTGGTGACTCATGCCTATATTCCTAGCAATTTCGGAGGCCGAGGCTGGTAATTGCTTGAGCTCAGGAGTTCGAAACCAGCCTGAGCCAGAGTAAGACCCTGTCTCTAAACATAGCATTGTGGCAGGTGCCTGTAGCCCCAGCTACTTGGGCAGCTGAGGCAAGAGAATTGCTTGAACCCAAGAGTTTGAGGTTGCTGTGAGCTGTGATGCCATGACAGGCTACTGAGGGCAACAAGGTAGGACTCTATCTCAAAAAAAAAAAAAAAAAAGAAAAAAGAAAGAGAGAAAAAAATTAAGAACTTTTGTCTGCACAAACACCTAATAAACCTACAAAATATGAACAACTTCTTTTTCAAGGGAGTGCAAGTTGAAAATAAGTATTTTCTCACTATACATATTATTTTCATTAAGCTTTTTTGTTTGTTTTTGAGACAGAGTCTCAAGCTGTCACCTGGGATAAAGTGTGTGGCTTCACAGCTCACAGAAACCTCCAACTTCTGGGCTTAAACGATTCTCTTACCTCAGCCTCCCAAGTAGCTGGAACTACAGGAGCCTGCCACAATGCCTGGCTATTTTTTTGTTGTAGTTGTCGTTGTTTTTAGCTGGCCTGGCTGGGTTTAAACCTGCCACCTCAGTGTATGTGGCTGGCACCCTACTCACTGAGCTACGGCTGCCACCTATTTTCATTAAGCTTTTAAAAGTTCCTTTGTGTTTCAGATTAACGTTCTTGCTAAAAACACTTTTTAAAAATATACTTTATGAAATTGTAAAAAGGACAGTAATAACTAAGAGAAGAATAGATGAAGTAGTAAAAGAGAGTGAACTCCCAGGGAGATTAAAACTTTATGAGCCAGGTCGCACCTGTGGTTCAGGGAGTAGGGTGCCAGCCCCATATACCAAGGGTGGTGGGTTCAAACCCGGCCCTAGCCAAACTAGAACAAAAAAATAGCCGGGTGTTGTGGTGGGCGCCTGTAGTCCCAGCTATTCGGGAGGCTGAGGCAAGAGAATTGCCTAAGCCCAAGAGTCAGAGGTTACTGTGAGCTGTGACGCTACAGCATTCTACTGAGGGTGACAAAGTGAGACTCTGTCTCTTTAAAAAAAACCACACAAAACTTCATGAGCCACTCTTCCTCCCTGGCTGCTGAGGATCATCCACCATCATGAACGACACAGTAACTATCTGGACTAGGAAGTTCATGACCAACTGACTACTTCAGAGGAAACAAATGGTCATTAATGTCCTTCACGCTGGGAAGGCAACAGTACCAAAGACAGAAATTAGAGAAAAACTAGCCAAAATATACAAGACCACACCCAATGTCACCTTCATATTTGGATTCAGAACTCACTTCAGTGGTGGGAAGACAATAGGCTTTGGCATGATTTCCGATTTTTTGGATTATACAAAGAAAAATGAACCCAAACATAGACTTGCAAAGCATGGCCTGTATGAGAAGAAAAAGATCTCAAGAAAGCAGCAAAAGGAATGCAAGAACAGAATGAAGAAAGTCAGGGGGACTGCAAAGGCTAATTTTGTGCTGGCAAAAAGTGAGCTGGAGACTGGATAACAGGCAAAGGATGTCATCTGCAGCCACTGTATAGATTTTTCACAAGAGGATTAATAAAGACTTCTCATATGGAAAAAAAAGCACTTTCTAAGTCAGACATCTGCAATCTCAGTAATTTGGGAGCTTAGAAAATTACTTGAGGCAGAAGAAGGTGCCAGGAGTTATCAGCCTTGGCAACAAAAGGAGACCTCATTACTACCCACCCCACCCAAAATTGGTTGGGTGTGGCGGTGCAAGCGTATCGTTCCAGGTACTCAGGAGGCTAAAGTGTGAGGAGTGCTTGAGCACAGAGATGGAGGCTACAGTGAGCTATGATTGAGTCACTGCACTCCAGGTTGAGAGACAAAGTGAGATACTATCTCTAAAATTTTTTTAAAACTTCCATTTGGCCAGGTGTGGTGACTCACGCCTGTAATCCTAGCACTCTGGGAGGCGGATGGACAACTTGAGCTCAGGAGTTCCAGACTAGCCTGAGAAAATGAAGACCCTGTTGCTACTAAAAATAGAAAAGCTGAGGTAAGAGGATCACTTAAGCCCAACCAAGAGTTGGAGGTGCTGTGAGCTATGATGCCATGGTACTCTACTCAGGGTGACAGCTTGAAAACTCCATCTCAAAACAAACAAACAAAAACTTCTCTTTGGCCCAGAGTTTCATTTACACCACATGTGATGTTGCAGAAAGATTTTTCATGACAGTCCTCTGGGCTCTGTATAAGCTTGTTGTGACTTAAATCAATTTTAGCACAGGCTGAACCCTAAGAACTTAACACTGCTTAGAGAAAAGAGGTCAGGTTTAAATTAGAAATGTGTTTAGAGGTCTTTCTGTATTGTTGACATCTCCCCTGCCACAGTTTTAGTAATGAGAACTACTGGGACATGAGGAAGAGTGGGCACCAAAATTCAAAATATCACATGACTATACTGTTAAAGAGTTCATATAACTTCTTCTCTGAGAAACCATCAAATGGTGGATGACACTAGTGTAGTAGGAGGGTCTAGAGGGCCCAGGGGGGCCCTGGAATAAGAGGTGGTGGAGACTTCTTTTTTTTTTGAGACGGAGCCTCAAGCTATCTCACTGGGTAGAGTGCCATGGCATTACAGCTCACAGCAACCTCCAACTCCTGGGCTCAAGCAAGTCTCCTGCCTCAGCCTCCCAAGTAGCTGGGACTACAGGCGCCCGCCACAACGCCTGGCT